TGTTTTTTTTACTTTGCTGAATTAATCTGATAAAGAACATTTAGTTAACCGTATTGAAAATAGTAATGTTTCTTTACACCATGGAAAAATAACTTAGATTATACTCCAATTCTTATAAAAGACCAAAAGGGGAGTTTAGAATTCTCAAGTGTGCTTGATTTCAATCATCGGAGTTGGTTTCTGAATACACATTTGTGTATATTTTATTCTATATATAGAATACTACCCCAAAATATTAGCAATACCAATAAAATATTAGCAAATAGGTAATAAAAACCCAGATTGGTAGCTTTTATTATTGTTTGAGGAGTATTGATGATGTTAAATGTTAAATAATGTTAGATGTTAAATAATAATAATACCTTACAGGTAATAGTTGTTCAGGTGGGTAGCTGTGTCAGCATGCGTAGGCTGCAAAGGAACAAGTAATAGGTTTATTCCATGCTGAAAAAAGAAAGAAAACACAACGTTTCGGCCGTGGTGTCCAGAAACATTATTATTTTCAATAGAGTTAACTAAACGTTTTTTTTTTTATCAGATTAATTCAGCAAAGTAAAAACAAACATGCATACATTTTGAAAATATGTAATATGTATGACCTCAACAGTGACTCAGTGCTTAGTATAGCTGCTTCACAGTGCTGGGGTCCTAGGTTCAGTTTCTGGGGTGCTATCTGACTGAAGTTGTGTATGTTCCCCCCTAGTTCATAATACCTTACAGGTAATGCCGACTTTATAAACCTCTATTATAATTTAAGTCTTTTATAAACCTACATTTTGAAAACAACAGTGTAGTTCAGTATTATTTTGATTTTAACAGTCTTTATATACATTACAGAATGTAAACTCACATCTTCTCTACACTAGATGAAAACTAAAAACTTCATATCAAGCCAACGATCTCCGTGATTTACAAACATCAGGATTTACAGAACGGACGTGGAACTATTCTTCATTAGTCTTGTGTGCGGGGGTTTCATTTCGTGAAACACCATTTATTTTTCTTAGTTTACCGATTTGCGTGTAAGTCATTGTATTTCTATCGTTCTTGTTACTATTTTAAGCATATTTATTATGGGTATATTAATAGTTTCCTAATTGTGGTAGCACAATGTCTACGTAATTATAAGAACATCAATATAACCTTAGAAATGGTTTACAAAGGTGTAATTTTTGAATAAAATTGTAGGCTTCATTTTTCTTTCGTAATAAGTTAGTCAAATATTTCTGGCTTTACCTTTTCAAAATTAGAAGAATCATAAATTTTGGACTTTGGGACTTACTGTTTTAAAGCAGGGATGCAACTTTTGTAATGTGGGCGAAACGCGTTAATCAAACCTAGATTAATATTTGATCTGCTTGTTCTGTAATCTGAAGATATTTTATAGTTTAAACTATAAAAGTTTAAACTTTTCTTAAGACTAAATCAGACTTGGAGGTTGGTAAAAATCATCCATAAACAGGTACTCGAAAATACAAAAGAAAGTGTTTTCCGTACCACAGTCCGGAAAAAATAAAGTATAAATGCTGCACCAAAACAGAATAGCAACTTTAGCTGTAATGTTAAAGGGATTTTTGAAATATGAGTAACGCATTGTTTCTTTAGATATTTTTTAAAGAAAACCGTTTACAGTGCACTTAGTTATATATATGTATCTAATATTAATTATACTGTTAAGAATTTAGGTGTGCTAGATTACAAGCCGTACTGTGTCTTAAAATACATTTTTTTCATAATATGGGAATATTTTTTTCCTGATGAACAAGAAAAAATCTAAAATGATTCTTAATAATTAAGCGTGTTATATTGTGCTTTTATGAAACGGTTTGTCTGCTTCATGCACTACCGGAGTACAACAGCATCACTTACACAGTGTATCAGGTTGGGAAATGTGAAGTTATACATGATTTGATATACAATAATGATTGATGGTCTGATTCCTCAGAAATGTATTTTACACACACAGAGGGACTTACAAAATACAAAAATGCTTTAGTTGCCAGAACAATTAGGGTTAAGACTAGGTAGTATGGGCCTGGTTTTAATCTCTTTGAAAGGACAGCACCTCCTCCTATGGAAATTCTGGTCCATTGGAAGGAATGTGAGTTAGTAGTTACAGAAGCGAATTGTAATGCCATTACTGACCAAGCAAAGGCTCGCTTATCTTCTGCGTCTGAGATGTGTCGGGATCAGGTTAGAAGGCTGTGACTTTCCCGCCGTGTTCCTGGGTTTCATTGGCCTGTTTGCTTAAGCATTAAAACTTTTCTGTACTTTGATGTCAAGCACGAGTCGAAACAGATATGTTAACGATAACGTGGAATTTTTGTTTAATTACACAAAAGATTGTTCTCACTCTTTATTTTCCTTGGTTCGTCAGGAAATAGCTTGAAATAAACAGAATGGACGAAGAGCCCGAAAGAACCAAACGCTGGGAAGGAGGCTATGAGCGGACATGGTGAGTCAGTCTTCTCCTCTGTGCCACCAGTCAACACCCAGGATTTTACAATGGGCTGAGGGGACAGGATAATGAAGTCATTCACAGGAACAGAGGAGCCGCTGGTTATTGACCAAGTCCTGTGGTTGGTGATTAATTGGGTGCATTCTGTTTCTATATTAACATCCGTATGTTTGTTAGTTGTGATCATTTTTGCAGTTCATCCCATCTGTTGTCGAAGGAAACTGTTGAAATTCTGCAGGCCATGGCCTTGGTTATTCATACCCCTGTAAATACGTATCTGGAGAATTACTTTAAGGACCCATTTTCTTGTGGTTTTACTTTGTAGTTCCTGAAGCCCCCTTTTCACACGGTAAGCCTATTATATACGGAGCCACCCCAATAAGTACTGGGACGAAGTTGCTATTTTTCTGTGTACTCAAGCAGTGCGGATTTGAGATTAAATTGAGGCAAAAGTACACAATGTCACCTTTTATTTCTGTATATTTGTGCACATACATGCTTTAATATTTTAGAATCACCTTATCGTTCTATTGCTTCATTGTCAAAGTGACATTACACCAAGTCAACAGACTGGTGAAATCGGTAATCTGCTTTTTAACCTCATTAAGCCTTGGTTTGAGGAATTTGCTGATAGTATAGTAACTTAACATAACATGACATCTGAAGCAAGGGTTGGCATTTGTTATGGACTAGCATAGAATATATTCCCCAGTTAAGTCACCATGTTGAATCCGTACTAGTTAGCGAAGTGTGTGTTGACTTTGTCCAACCTTGTGTCGTTACAGGGAAGTCCTCAAAGAAGACGAGTCTGGGTCCCTCAAGGCATCTGTGGAAGATATTCTGTTCAAGGCAAAGAGGAAAAGGTAATGAGAACGAGCACAGAACATTCTTAGAAAAAAACAACATTGTGCTCAGATACAAGTTTACCGTCTCATCACAATCTGAACAGCCTGTCTACTGCTAATGTATAATGTAACAGCCAACGGCTAATATGGTTTACATGAACTGTATATGTTAAGAGTATAAACACTATATATTTGCATATTTAACCAGAATGAGCATGATATTTAACTGAACATGAATTCAATGGTGCATGCTCTGGTAACACCCTGCTGTTTGCTTCTTGCAGAATCTTTGAGAACCATGGTCAGGTTAGGCTTGGAATGGTGAGTATCCCTTGGCCAACAGGTCCTCTCAGACCTGAACTGGTACACTCATGCACTGGATTAATGGTTTCATTAATGCCTCTTTCATGAACATCATGTGTAATTTAAGAATGAAACTAATACAACAAGCAAGAGCTACCGTTTTTAAGAGTTTCTAAATACTTTTTCTCAATCATATCATAGTCTTTTGTAAAATGAAAGCACTATAGGTAGCGGAGGCTGTCCCTTGTTTTAATGGGATTTATGATACAAAGCTCTGCGCAGTTTTTCCCTGTTTCTTGTCCCAGGTCATATTTCGTCTTTGTGTTTATACAGATGCGGCACTTGTTTGTGGTTATTGATACTTCAAGGACAATGGAAGACCAAGATTTGAAACCAAACCGACTCACGTCAACTCTCAAGGTGGAAATCCCTCAAAACTGGCTGTATGAAAAGCTGGATCATTTTGCTGCTGTGAAACGCTTATTTGATGTTCGCTGAGCTGCAGCTTATAACCAGTGCTAATGGGAGTTTTACAGAGAGACAGGGCTGAGGATAAAGCAAGGCAGACAATGTGTTATCCAAGCATTGCTTTGCAACTGCAATTCGATTGTGGATAATGATTGATGTCATGGGAACTTGTGTGCTACATTTGATACACACAACTTGAGTTAAGAAATAGACGTAGAACTATAGGGTAGAACTGGCAGACATGCTGTACTGATTGTCCCTTGCTGGCGTCTTCTGTCCACAGTTGCTCTGAGATCTGATGAATCAAAATGAGTTAATGGCAGTAGGATTTCATGTACTGTGAGCTTGCAGGTATTTTGACAGACAGATTTACATACCGTCTATATTTTAGTGTACCTGTCTTCACTGTGGGTGATGCATGAAAAATCCCTGCATTGGAACAGCAGACTAAAGATGCCTAATTTATTTTCTTTTCAAAATCTGCAGCTTATGGAATATTTTGTAGATGAATACTTTGACCAGAACCCGATCAGTCAGGTAAGAACACATTTACAGTGTTGTGGGTCGATTAAGAATATTACAATAACAATATTGCTCGTTCTGTCTCTTCTACTGCCTTGTGCCAATTGGCTCTGGGCTGCCGCGACCCTCACAAACAATATGTTTTGGCGTGTACTTGTCTTCAGTGACGAAATTAGACAAGGTCTTTGACTAATCTAATATGTGAGTCTCTATTGGTCTTATGGCAGAAGAGATACAGTGCGAGACAAAGTCTTTGACCGATGTGTTGCGTGAATCTCATGACCTTCCCGTCTTTCCAGGTTGGGATCATCACCACTAAAAATAAAAGAGCGGAAAAACTAACTGACTTGGCCGGTGAGTAACACTTAACACAGGAGTGTGGAGTTCTTGGTCAAATGTAATTCAATCCGTCTTGTTTTTTCCCCCAGTGCAGACCAGTTTTGGATATCATGGTTGGGTCCTGTTCATCCTTTCATTTTTTTTTAAATTGAATTTTTGCTGAGCTACAGAGATGAGCAGACAAAGCGGGCAGGAATTCAGACGGGCAGGCAGCACTGTTTTGTTAAAGTTGGGGCTGTCCTCTCTGTAATGCCTACATTTCTCAGAGCTGGAATGGGCTGTGTAAATGTGGTCTGACTTTAAACTTCAGAGCCCCTCTGGGTAGGAACTCCTGGAATCCTGAATCCAAGAGTATTGCTGGAAGTGAGAGAAGTCAGACATTTCAAAGATGAAAAAGTCTGAGACAGTCTTTGACAGATTTTTTTTTTTCCAGGTAACCCAAAAAAGCACATAGCAGCTCTGAAGAAGGCAGTAGACACGACCTGTCTTGGAGAGCCCTCGCTGTACAACTCCCTGAGCCTGGCCATGCAGACACTGAAGTAAGTCAAGAGGAACTGAAAATGCAGCTGTGCTGCTTGCATACTTGTTACTGGAATGATACTGGCATTTTGTGTTTAGATCAGCTTGAATTCCTTTGTGAGTGTGCATAAATACTGTTGTTATCGGCCTCTTTCTCCATTAAACTGTTAAACAAAGTTTTTAGTTCCCTTTAAGACGTGTTATTTTCTGAAAGTTCTTATGGATGTCTGGACTTGCCTTCCTTTTAGCTGTGTAGTGCGTATCTCTGGAAGCGGATCTGGGCTGCTAGACTGTTAGTGAATTTGAACATGTTGGTCCTCTAGGAAGTTTCCATTGGCTTCTGTTTGTGTTTCAGACACATGCCAGGCCATGCAAGCAGGGAAGTGTTGGTCATTTTCAGCAGTCTGACAACGTGTGATCCAGCCAATATTTATGATTTAGTAAAGGTGGGTTAAATAAAGAGTTTAAAAGATTGGATGTTTGTAAATACATGCAGGACAAGTTAAATTAACCCAAAACGTAAAGACTGTGGCTCAGCTACCACAGACAGTTGTTTTGGGGGGGAGGTGTGATTGAATTTACATGCTGGGGGCAAAGAATACAATATAAAAAGCAAACCTTTTACTTCATTTTTTTTTTCAAAAGTTCGAATCACAAAATACTCGGTTCTGCAAATGTGGTATTGCCGTAGAAAATAAGTCAATAAATGTTTTACTGTATAAGATCTTAAGTTGTATTTCTGTGTAACAAGTAAAGATACAGTATAACCATAGAAAGTGATTCTGTACAGCTTTTACAAGTCCTTTTTATAAGCTGAATTTGGATTAGACAAAGCCTGGTGACTGTTTCCCAGGAAGGACAGCCATTCAGTAGACTCATGTTGGTGTTCCCTGGCCTCTCCGGCAGACTCTGAAGACGTTGAAGATCCGTGTGTCTGTGATAGGCTTGTCAGCTGAGGTGCGGGTCTGCACTGTCCTGACGCGCGAGACTGGCGGTAAGAACACCTGTAAAACCTGTAAAGAATGTCTTGAACATTATGGTGCACTTTTCATGTTATGCAGACAGAGTGATGTCCTTTATATGCCCACTGTTCAGCAAATACTGTTCATGATTGAACAGAGAAATAGTGGAGAAATTAAGCCCTGCAATCTAATCAACAAAAAGTATACACATAGTAAACTAAATCCAGGCGGTAAGAAGCCTCTTGCCAGATTTGTAAATGACTTAAAAGACTTGGAACATAAGAGGGGTCACAGATGAGCAAGCTCTGTGATCCGTCTAGCTTGTATGGTGACTAATAAACAGCAGAAGCGAGGAATGTGTCCATTTGTTGCTTGGAAGGAACTAGGGTATCGGCTTCAGCAAAATGGCTGTGCAGCTTTTTCCTGACTTCTGCATCCCTTTGGCTAAAGAAGTGCACCCTCTTCTCATGTGACCTTGAATTAATTTGTGACTTCATTTTAAGAATAAGCCTCCAGTACTGAGTCTGCTTTATACAGTATAACACTGCACGCAATAGATGTAACTTATTGATCTGTAATTACTTTGGTTTGGTCATAATTGTTTGGAGGGTTGTTAATTGAACTGTTTTCCAGTTAGTTGATATTACATTTCCTGAGTGTAAGAGGTTTACTGCTGGAAGAGTTTAGTGTCTTGTAGATTGTCTCATTTCCGTAGGTACACTTGGTAAAGTCTCCTCAGGTTCTGGTATTCATTTAAGTCATTTAAAACATTTCCCTTTCATCATATTCAAATCTGCTTTGGTTATGGATAACTAGTAAGATGTGTGTTGTAAATGTTTGGTATGAATGAATTCATCTGATCATACTTGTGTAAAATACCTTTTAGACAGCATCTCGCTGGTCACACTGCAAGGTTAATGGAGTGGAGTGTGTGTTCGTTGTCTCAGTGGGTCCAGTGTGAGTGCTGAAATGATATGTTTTGGGCAGACCAGGTCACTTAGTTTGACTCTGCAGGCACATATCATGTGATCCTGGATGAGAGCCACTACAAAGAGCTGCTGATGTACCATGTGAAACCTCCCCCTGCCAGCTCTTCCTCTGAATGCTCCCTGATTCGCATGGGTGAGTCTGGATCCCCTCTGGCTTCTCAAGAATAGTGTAAAAGTAGGGTTTCACAAACACAAACTCCAGAAGATCTATTCTTTATGTGACTTGAATGAAATGACCCTTAGTTAAAGTTTTCCTTTCCTGAAATACTCAATTTCAGAATTATACAATACTAAAGTTTTTGGTCTTAATTCATTTTTAAGTTCTGATTAATGCTGGATGTCACTTTGCTGGTTTAGAGGAAGTGTCTGCCACCTTTTAAAGTCCTGGTTTGACGTGGTAATCATGGGCATCTTTTTGCTGTTCAAACAGGTTTTCCCCAGCACACAACTGCGTCCATATCAGATCAAGACTGTAAACCGTCCTTCAGCATGTCGTAAGTCCTGAATACACTTAACCTGATCACGTGTTTTAATCCGGTCTTCTTTAGACAGGAGGCCTTATTTTCTCTTAGTGAAGTATTGTTTGAAATAGTGGGAAATAATTTATCTATCTAAATAATGGATCTAATTAGGTAATTAATGAAATTCCATAGGTACATGTGCGCAATGCTTTACATAGGGACTTAAGCTTTTCATTTTATTTTGGAAGGGGGATTGCTAGTTTATCATTAAAGACAAAGACTTAAATAATATTGAATTTGTGTATCTGAAAGATGTTAACATTTTAAATTCAAGGGATGTGAATTTCTTTTTTTTTTGTTTTTAACAGCTAAAAGCATTATTTCTGTGCTCCCGCTAAGTCTAAGTAAACAGATATACTGTATTTATACAGGGGAGTGTGGGACATTAACAAGACGCAGCTGGGCAGTAGCAGTGTGTGCTGTTTCAAGGCTGGACCCAGGCAGTTTTATGTGGCTTAGCGGTTGAGGTATCAGGACAGAGTTCCGTACACAGAAGCACAGAGCACATGCATTTGCAATGCAAGATAATCTATGCAGTTTAGCAGTAGCACACTTTTTCTCCTGCTAGATCATTCAGCTTCCTGCTCCTCGTCTTTCAAGAAGCAACTGGATGAGACTCTCGTGCTAATTAGCTTCTAACTTCCAAACGAGCTACATAATGATCTCTTGTGTGTAAGAGCATACTCCAGCTTGCTCTCCATGAGACACACAGACAGGGAGAGAAGCTTGGGGTCAGAGCGCAGGGTCAGCCATTTATAAGGCACCCCTGGAGCTGCTGGGGTTAAGGGCCTTGCTCGGGGGCCCAACAGAGTAGGATTCCTCTGCCGGCCGCGGGATGCGAACCGGCAACCTTCCAGCCAGAGCCACAGAGCCACTGCACTGCCTGTTACCCTGCCCTTCCCCACCTGTCCCTGCAGGCACCTGGACAGCAGCAGCGGTCCTGGGCTGACCCTGGGGGGTTACTTCTGCCCACAGTGCCGAGCCAAGTACACAGAGCTGCCCGTGGAGTGCAAAGTCTGCGGTGAGTGTCCTCCATTCTCCACTCGAGGGACCATGCTAGTCCAGCACTCGAGCAGAGCGCGTGTGATTTCCAGAGAGGCGCAGGCTGTCGCGCAGAGAGCCGAGACAAAGCTGGGGGTCCCACTTCAGGATCCAAGTGGGATTCTGGGTTTTGGTTTCCCAAAAACCCGGAGTCAGGCGGGTGAGGTTTTGTAGCCAGGGCAACCTCTGAGTGGACAGACAAAGCCAGGGAGGATCTGGGATCAGGGTCGGGAGACAGGCGGGAGACCGGTAGACGACAAAGGCTGACGTTAAAACTGCGGGTTTACTGTAATGGAAGGGGTTGAAGAATGCGTACTTAAAAAATCTTTTATTTAAAAAAAATAAATCTGTTCTCACAGCCAGATCTTCAATATCTTTGTGGGGTTTTTTTTAAGTGTTTTGTTTGAACCTTGAGGACATGACAGGGTGCTGGATTTATCCTTTTCATTGGGACATTTTTCATTTGGACAATTGGTAGCTTGGCAAAATGGCTTAGTGGATGCAGAAGATGTAATACTACAGCGCCAATGTTATTGATAGACGCCATCTGCAATCTTTTATTACAATACTCCCTTATGTTTGTAATTAGTGGTTTTTGATAAGTACCGTGAAAGGACATGGAATAAAATAATCAGAGCTTGATGTGTCGTCTGTAAACACCTGCTGGTCTTGGACTAATGGACCCTCTTGGGCTCAGTCCTGCTGCCTACCGGTTTGAGTGGAAAAGTCCATTTTGATGTCTTCCCTTTTGTCACTCCTTTTTTACTATTTAGCTGACACAGTGACCCGCAGCATATCATGGTGCTTTACACTGCATGTGTTTCTGCAGGTCTGACGCTCGTGTCCGCCCCACACCTGGCCAGGTCTTTTCATCACCTCTTCCCTCTGGATGCCTTCCAGGAAATCCCTTTAAACGACTGTGGAGGGGAAAGGTACAGTAAGCTGTTGCACTTTTAGAATGTCTTGAAGTCTTAGCTGAGCTGCCGCAGAGCTCTCGTGCTCGTCGAGTGTACTGTATGTGCAAGTGATGACTCGTTTTTTTGAAACCACTTTTTAAAACGCAGATTTTTAAACAGTGCGAATTCTAGAGACAGGCTCTTGTAAAACCTTGGTTTTGAAGTGTTATCATGTTAAAAACTCAATGTGGTGATTGATTTATTTGGATCATACTTTTATGAAGGGAAACCTAAAGTGGCTGCAATTATCTACCTTTTACACATACAGATTTCTGTTCCCATTTATACAGCAGGGTTTGCAGGAGTGATCTGGGTGAATTACTGAAGCTGCAGTTCCCCAGCTACTACTCCGCACTGTTACATGATTCTGGAATCGCCCTTCATATGATCAGCTGTTTGAGAGGGGTGTGGAAAACATGAAACAAATGCAGATCTGCAGCTCAGTTGTGAAACCTCACTCACTTTAGCCAGAGCAGTAATGAGTGCTCTACTCACATGTTCCTCTATTGAAGTTAGAAACTCTTTTCTGGAATACATAGAATCATGGTGAAAAAACGCTGTGTGCTGAAAAAGTATAGAATATGATAAATTCCATTCACTTGCATAGATTTTCTGGACACTCCACTCAAAGCGCTTTACAGGTAATGGGGACTCCCCTCCACCTCCACCAGTGTGCAGCCCCACCTGGATGCTGCGACGGCAGCCATAGTGCGCCAGAACGCTCACCACACATCAGCTCTCAGTAAATGGGAGAACAGAGTGATGAAGCTAATTCATAGAGGGGGATTATTAGGAGGCCATGATTGGTAAGGGCCAATGGGAAATTTGGCCGGGACGCCGGGGTTACACCCCTACTCTTTTCGAGAAGCTCCCCGGGATCTTTAATGACCACAAAGAGTCAGGACCCCAAGTTTACGTCTCATCCGAAGGACGGCGCCTGTTTACAGCATAGTTTCCCCGTCACTATACTGGGGCATTAGGACCCACATGGACCACAGGGTGAGCGCCCCCTGCTGGCCCCACTAACACCTCTTCCAGCAGCAACCTTCGCTTTCCCAGGAGTCTCCCATCCAGGTACTGGCCAGGCTCACACCTGCTGAGCTTCAGTGGGCTGCCAGTTGTAAGTTGTAGGGTGATACAAGAACAGGAGAGAAATTAAACCAAGAAGAAAAAAAGTATTCCTTGTGTCCGGCAACTCCCAGATGGACTGTTAGACTAACGTTAGACACTTCACGCAGACATTGGCAGACATAATTAATTCCTCATCTCAGGTACTGAGAAATCCCAACTTTAAATGTGGTCAGGATTAAATAAGCCTTTTTATTACATCTTCCTTAGGCATTCTACAGCCGCATTAACAGTGAAAAAGCTGCTACCCGCATCATCGTCTTTTTCACGGTTTGAAATATGTTTTCACAATCATTAAAGACTGTCACAGAACATAAGTAATTACTTAACATTAGAGTTGGAGATCTTCAGACATTACCACAAGAAAATGTGCTTTTGTGTTTTGATAGGTTTTGTCAAGCATGCCAGGGCGAACTTAAAGATCAGCACGTAAGTTTTCGTTTATTCTTTAATCAGATTCTTTTATTTTTGATTGAGATCATTGCTTCTGAACTTGTGTACAGTTGTGAAAATCAGGACCAAGACTTCTTAGCTCAAAGGCAGAAATTTATTGAAGAATCATGCAAAACTCCTGAATTACATGAGAGTTCAAAAAGTGTTCTTGGGTTGTGCTTAACCTGGTTCACACTGGTTCTATACGTCTTGTACGTGATGCAGTGGTCCTATTGTGTAGAACTGAAGAACGGGCTTTTGTTTGTAATGTACACCATGTCTGTTGTGGTCCAGAGTGTGAGGCCTGTGTCTCTGCCGCCCTGCAGGTGTACAGCTGTCCCTCGTGTCACTGCGTCTTCTGTGTGGAGTGTGACCTCTTCATCCACGACACTCTACACTGCTGCCCCACTTGTATACATAGCCAAAACGCCCTCTGAATTTGGGGGATGCTTCAGGGAACCTCAGAGCACACGGGACAGATAAGAGCCTGCACTAAAATCACTGGCGACCATTGACAAAGAGAAAGGCACAAGTGTTTGTTAGAAGCCTGAAGCCGCAGAGCTCCTCATGATCAGGCAGCCAGCCTTCAGATCAACTGCAGCCACTTGAAAGCAAACTTGTTTGAAAAGGGAATTTGATTCTGATTTCTAAACATAGTTTCAGGATTTCTTTTCAAAACCTCCACAGTGATTCGGAAACTGCACCTTTCCTCTGTATGACTGGGTATTAAGTTCAGGCTTCAGCTGTTAGATGTTTTCAGTGCTACTTTCAGTGACACTTTTGTAAAGGTTTATGCTATGGATGAAGGTGACAGATCCTTGAAGACAGTAGCACTAAGTCTACTGTTAGAAAATTAAGTGAAGAAGTTGTAAAGTCTACAGTGATGCTACTGGTACTTAAATGTTATCTCAGCAATGAGCCATAACAGACAGGGAAGAGCTTTTGGTGGAAAATAAAACATGTTTAATTTTATTAAATTATATTTCTTGTTCATTAGGATGGCCTTTCTCACACACACAAACAGTAATGTTGTGGTTGTTGCATTTTAAGTTTACACTCTTAAAAACCTTTTACAAAAATCACAAGTTGTACAAAATTGATATCGCAAAACTCTGAGATGATGGCCTGGCTGCTGTGTTTTCCCCCCAAAAAAGTATGTCTGTGGTAGAGTTAAATAAGCCTTATTACATCTTCCTTAGGCATTCTACACTTGCATCAACAGGGAAACAACATCAAGGCTTGTTCATTGTTTGGAATTAATTGGAATTGGTATTGGATATTGAACATATTCCATCTAAAAACATTTTTAAGTGACTGTGGTCATAAAGTGCATACAGTTGGAAAGGCCAGGCTTGGGGAGAACAATACTGTTCATCCTTCTGGCTGTAATCCCATGAGAATCACTGCAGTTCTGCACCGCTTCCTCTTACAGTATGTAGTACTGTACTCTCTCCCCCAGCCTCTTTGCACATGGACTTTCCAAATGTTAAGCTGGCACTGTAAAATAATTTAAATAATATTGAATTCGGCAGAAGCAAAGACAAATCGGGTCAATTCAAGAATGTGCGGTTAGCTCTGTGGTACACATAAAGATCTGTTATGTGTACAGTACAAGGTCCTTCCAGCATTTTTCTTTACCTGCACCTCTATGAGGCTGGGATGCGTGAAAACACTTTAAAAAAAAGCTTGCAAACAAAAACAAAAAGGTTTGAGAGACGGAAAAAGCTCACGTCTCCACCCCACACGATCGCCGCCCCCACCCCCGTGTGAGGAGCGCTCTCAGGCCCGGGCCCGTCACGAGCTCCCGGCAGGGCCCGGCCTGGCCCCCTGCCGGTCCAGCCACGCCTGCAGCAGCGGGAGGTTCCGGTCCATCCAGCGGATGTTCTCCTCGACGCTCTCCAGCGCCTGCTGCACGCAGCGCAGCTGGGAGCCGTTGTCCTCCAGGGACGCGAAGAAGCCCCTGACCTGCGGAAACACACCGGCGGTAAGCGGGCCGGGCTGCGCCTGTTTCCCTGTGCACTGCCTCGGTCCGAAGACTCCTTTCTCTCAAAGTGGGGCTCAGGGCTGCACGTCGGAGAAATAGCTTCATAAGAGCCGTGAGCCTGACTTGCCAACAGAGTGGAGAAATCGAGACTACTTTCAGAGGTGACTTCTGTAGTTTCAGAGGCACAGGCAAGGATCTAGATCGTGGGCTTCTCCATTTCTGACATATACTGAGCTTCAAAACAACAATGATTTTTGCACACTTGCTTTTAGATATTTGACATTATTGTTTCATTCAGGTGAGAGATCCATTAGCCACGCACTGATGTACACTGAGCATCGGAAGATAATTCTCATTCTATAAAATAAGGTATATGGCCTTTGATGAATTGTTTTTGACATTCATGTAATTAATCGATCTTTCACAACTTGTGTGCAGCATGTGCTAAACCATCGTTTCTTTTTTTAAATTTTGGAGATGCAGGTATTATTATGTTACAGATATCAGTCGTTAAACATCTGAGCAACTTCTACACAATTTAGTAGATGAAGCTCTTAAGAAGAAGAAAGAGTGAAATACAGCATATCCTCCATGGCTAAGATGTTTTATCCATTCGTTATTTAGGAGTATTTTCCAGGTAATTGTTGGTATTTAACTCCAGGCCTCGTCACTTTAGTGGCAAAAAGAAAAATTTTAGCCACTTCAAGCTTCTAGATGCAAAACATTATAGATTATTTGGTAAAAGTGTGCATTAAATGCAATTTTTCAATTGAAAAAGCTGACATCATGACATAATCATTAAAAATGAAAACCTGATAGCAGTTTATTTGTGTCATCAGATGCAAAGACTATACAGATGTGTCTGTAAAACATGGTTACCTCCTCCAGCATGTCCCTGGTGGAGTACTGGTTTGTCACTCCAGTCACCATATGCGCAATGGAATGGGAGCCCAGATCAAACCTGAAAGAGAGGAACGTGTCAAACTGCTGCCCCCTACTGGACAGAGGCAGTGAGCATTTTCTGATTGTAAGGATTGTTCCTGTCAGAGCTCCTCTATTGATGATAGACCGAAAATAAAGCTTACTTCTCACAGAAAGGCAGAAAACGTTGGAAAAGAAGCTAAATGAAATCCAGGACAGTCCATGAGTACAGTAAACACTTCTTTACAGTTTGCAGAGGAAAAACCTCATTCAAGAAGACAAACTAGAGCAAACCACTTGTTAGGCAGTACTTGTGTAGTTGAAAGTGATCAGCTGGGAACACACCTCTGGAAGACTAAGGCTTCACCTTGCTGGAAAATCATGATTTACATCAGGGTGGAGCAAAACCAGTCCTTGATGGCTGTTGTCCTGCTGGTTTTGGAGATATTTTTCAATTAGCAACTAAGACCTAAAGTATCAGGTGATTTAACAACATAATGAATTGAATGCAGGTATAGAAGACAGCAGTAGGGTGGCAGTCTGACCACCCTAAGGCCCTCAAGGACTGGTTTTCAGTGTCACAGCTGCAGCAACAGCAGAGGAAAGCACATGTTGAACTGACTTCTTCACCAGGCTGTCCCAGTTGTCTCTGAGGAAATCCCAGGCATGTTTGTAGCCCTTGGGGTTTTTGCTCACATAGACAACCACATAGGGCAGGTCCTGGGTCTTCAGCACATCCCCCTCAAGGCTCTGCTCCATTATCCTGCAGAGGGGAATCAGCACAGTCACAGAGGTGAAGGGTTCAAACTTCTGTCTCTGTATAGCATGTTCAGAAAACCACCTGCATGCAACATTAAAGTATCTGCTACTGATAAGACTAGGGGCCTGCAGACACAAACAATGCTTGTTCTAAGAACCCCAGAATTATTTTGAGTAGAAGGCCAATAATAACTTCCTGCTGGTGGAAAACATTGATACAGCTCAATTAGGTAGACATCTGATTAAAGAGGAGGTTTGCTTAACCAATAGAAATGAAGTTTGAAGTTTTCTTTTTTTTTTTAAACTGAAGCTCTTTGTATTCCTTATCACGTAAGTGTATAAAAGGTCAGCTGTAACGTCCCTTGTGGGAATCATCTCCCTAATTGCAGGGAAGTTGCTTCTCCTTGGGCGAATATACAACAAACTCCTTTTCTGCTCAGCAAAAAAGTCTCTAGTGGATTTTTACTACTCTACAGAGGGAACAACATGGCTTTCTCAGATACAAGACAGTTCCCTGTTGCTTGTGCGTATGAACACACTGCAGAACAGCTGTCCATGACTGCTAACTTCGACTGTGTACTTACAACCAGCACAACTGGATTATCTTCAAGTGGTTCCACCACTAGCAGCAAAGAGGTCATTAAAGCTTTCTACCCATGATTCAAGATCACTTTATACAGTAAGGGAGTAAGGGTTGTGCTGCCCATTCATCTTGAATATGCTGGGTACATTTTCAAAACATGGCAATTTCAAAAACTCTTTTCCCCCCTTGACCAAAACTTACTGATACTGATGGTAATAGTAAAACTTTCAAAGGGGACACTTGACAACAGACAACACAATAGTAGAAGAAAATTGATTGAACAAATTATTGTAATCTTATTAAAACGTAATATACAGTTTGTATGTGTATTTACGTGTATCTGTACAAAAACATATAAGGTCTTCAAACAGAACTCAAAGCACTGTACATACATAATAGTACATCCATTTAACAGAATACACTTAACTAAAGAAGGAAAACAAAATGCCTAGAAAACTGGCCCAGTGATAAAAAGAGCAAAACAATATTACTCATTAAAAGCTATAATATTAAGATGAAGGTCTTTAAGCAAGTTTTGAAAATGTCCACAGACGCAGAGTCTCTAATAAATTAGGGAGTTTGAAGCTGGGTCTCGGACAGAATAAGAAGACCTGAACCTGCAGATCACAGACTGCAATAGTGGACTATTCTCACAGAATAAGTTGTTCTACAACAGGTGTTCTAGAGTGTGTATTATTAGTATACTTTTCCAACCTCTTTTTTGGCTGTACTTGTTTATATAGGCAGAGCTCTCTCAATCTTGTGCTGTACATTCTGAGAACAATCTGCGCTGGGTTGGGTCTGGAGCTGGGTTAAGGTTCGGATTAAAGAGGCAGCGATTGACTCACCACTTCAGCTTGTGGGAGAGAGGGCTGATGGTGAGAGCGGACTTGATCTGGCTCTTCACCGAGCTGAAGAGCGACTGGCGGTACTTTTCAAACAGGAAGTCCCAGCCCTCGGGTGTCTGGGCTCCGATGGCGTAGACCGCCAAGCTCACATCACTGGGCAGACTGCGGGGACAAGACAGCATGATGGTCACATTCCAGGGAACAGCGTACAAGACCCTTACACAGAAGTGGCTTCTCTAAACCCTCGAGCACAGAGGTCCTGGAGTGTCCCAGTTCAGCAGCTTTCATACCTAATAATACAATCACCAGTTTCTAAAAAACAAATATTTTAGTTGTGATAAAGCCAGCAGGTTATTTATTAAAATTAGAGATCATTTGGAACAGAAATTCCCATAATGAATTAAACTACCTAATAAGGTACAGGTTGTCCTATGAAATGGGTGGTTGACGATGACCTATAGGCCAACCAGTACTGAGCCTCCCCGGGAGCAGGATTGAACACTTTAGTGCAATCAAACATGTATTTAATGTTCTTTATAATCATAGTGTTTTACCTCCCAAAGAGCTTTACATATCACAGGGGGTGAAATTCATCCTTCACTGAATTGAGATCAGGTTAAGAAGTCAAGTGTGTAACTGCTGCACTAGTTGAATTAAGGGGGCACTTTAAGTAGGCCAGGGTGTACAAACCCTGAGTAGAATTCACCTGGGACACAGGAGTTAACACCCATCATCTTATGAACAGTGACATGGAGTCTTAAGTACTGAAGACCTTGGTCTAATGTCTGATCAGACGGACACCACCTTCTACAACACAGGCACCAGGCTCGGCTTAAGACATAACCTATTACATAAGCAAAGTCAGGTAGCAGGCACATCTTTGAGTTGTGCTCCTTGAGGTGCTAAACGTTCTGTTAGCCCTGGTGCAACAGGCTGACCCTGTTTCTCAGCAAAGCACTTCTTGCTGGCAAATAGGGTACATAGACCACCTGTCAATTTGTCAGATGGCTCACTCTCTGCATCCCAGCTTTTCATCCCAGTCCCACAGGCCTGCTCGTCAACCCAACTCATTTCTAGCAACAACACCTACTGTAGCTGTGGAGCCCCTCACTCCCTCTCCTTCCAGGCTGTAGCCAAGATACAGACTGAATCCCTTTCTTCCCATATGATCTTATAAGCCTCCTGCTTACTCAGGTGGCCATCTTGGCTCATGGCCCACCACTGGGGCTAGGTTTCGAGCCTTGGTTGTGGAAACACATGTTGGGGGTTGACACCGTCTTCATGTACTGAACGCTGTTGTTTTAATAACAATACAAAACAGTGGGTAACTGTAGAATATTAACGGATCAAATCAGAGTAGACTAAATTCTCATATATAAAGTAAATTTGCAAAAGGATGGTTGTGTAACGTTGTGTACTTAAAATGTTTTTTTTCGATTCACTACAATAAACATAAAAATAAAATATCAAGTGGGATCTCTGACCTCATGTTCCCATCCGACTCCTTCCATGTCTGGAACAGCTGCTTGGCCTTCTCCACGCAGGGCTGGTACCCGCGGACACAGGCAAACATCAGCAGGTAGCTGCGCAGCATCCTCTGGGACACCGTGCCCTCGTCACTCCACTCCTGCTTGTCGATCAGGTCCCTGAACAGGCTCACGATGTAGCTCTGGAGCACAGCAGAGAGCAGAGGTTTTTGAAAAGGAGGCTCATTTGTCTCCTTCCTGCCTGTGTCGCTTATGTGGCGGATGCTTTGGTCCGAAACAGATTAACTTTGCACCCACTTACACAGCTGGGCATTTTACTGGAGCCGTTCAGGTGAAGTACCTTGCTCAAGGGTACAACAGCGGCGTCTCACCTGGACTTTGAACCCACAACCTTCCCCCTGTTAGGCCAGAACCCTGACCGCTGATCCACACAGCTGCCCCTACACAGTCCTAACTTCTGCGTAGCTCCTCCTGGCTTGCTCAAAGCCTCTCACCTTCATCTGATTCTCCAGCTCCTGCATGTCTCTCTTCTCCATCAGCTTGTAGAGGGGCACCAGCTCGCTCAGGCCCTGGGTCACAGGCATGATCTCCGTCTCCTTCCTCAGGTACAGCGAGAGGTCCAGAGCCTTGTCCAGGGGCAGCTTCCCGACGCTGTCGCGCGGCAAGACAGGTGTGTACAAGGCAGAAAGCTTCACAAGGGGTCTTCGCTGGATCATTGGGGTAAAAGAACTTCTTAGTTGCAAAAGATTTCTGTTTGATTTCGGATCCTTCTCAGTAGGACACTACCAACTACAAGTATGTTGAATCACCAAGTTTGTGTAAAATTCTCAGTGAAATTGCTGTACAAGAACACATTTTGAGTGCTGGTTTCTGTTTGTGGTGATGGCCGCTATGGCTGACTAACCCTGTTATCGCTTTAATGTTCTTCAGTGCTGGAAGGGTGGTCCAGTGATATCGGTTTGATATCGGTGAGACTGTGTGTGTAATATGGAGGCACCTGTGCGTGTCTGTGAAGGCACTTTGCTTATCCAGGCAAGGCTCTCTCTGCCCTCTCCCCCTCACCTCACCAGCTGGAAGGCGTTGTTGATGAGGCTGGCCCTGTCGTTGCTGCTCAGAGCCGTGTGGTTCCTCTGCAGCAGGCGGATCAGGGCGTCCCAGCCTGCTCCCTCGTAGTGCACGATGTAGTACCCACTCATGTCCACGTTGAACTTGATCCACTCCACCTCCTCGGGCAGGTACAGTACGTCTGCGGACGGACGGACCCGGAGGATGAGCCGGTAGTAAAGAATTATTTCGAGACACAGAGCCATACTGCAATGACCACTCTCCAAAACTAATTGGCCATATTTTCCCCAGTATTTGTGTCTGGCCAGAGTTTCCAAACCAATTACCCAGTATGGAGCCCAGGAACAGTAGGTACTCTTCAGTAGAGTACAGTAAGTACAGTATTATACTGTACCTACTGTTAGTTAGTAAAGTAAGGAGCTACTTAACAGTAGGTTTTGCTAATCTAAAGTCCTGACTACTTTCAAAAGAGCATGGATGTAACCCTAACATCTAGCCTCGTAACGTTCTACCTTTATTCAATTGCCAAAGTAATTTCTCATTTCCCTGCCTAAACTACGGAGTGTTGGGGCTGCTCGACCATAATATTTGCTGCACATCACTCAGCTAGGTGCTCACTGTTGGACAGAGTGAGTCCTCTACTACACTACATATAAAGTGCTTTGGGGTTCATATTTCTTAATATTCATTTTGACTTATTAATTCTGAATTACTTTTGGCTCAGTTCTGTCCTTGATATTTTGTCTGAGGTATACTGTATAGTCTGAGGAGGTTAATTTGAATTTTGCAACACTTCTGTAAATCTATCAAGAAAAAATCTAATATTAATATACAGATAAAGTAGAACACTTTAGTTACAGATTATACAAAAAATACACAAAAACCCTGGAACCACACACATCCAATAGTACTATTATGGCATCTTGCTTGGTTATTGGTTCCAGGAGTTGTTGAACAAGGTGAAACTCGGTTAAGGCACTTCCTCATTTATGTAGCCCTAACAGAAATAAGAGACACTCAGCACATAGGTGCCAGCCATTCTTAAATTGATAACCTCTGGTTTGTTTTTTTAGGAAATTAACAATTTACTTACCCGTCTTAGTTTTTAACAGGAACCTATGAACTGAGTTGGAATTACTTGTGATGTAGGTCAATGGAACGTGCCACAGAAAACTGAGCAAGAGAAAAATGAGAGACATACTGTATAAATCTACTGTATATATAGACTAACACAACCTCTAGTACAGGGGTCAGCAACCTGCAGCACGCCTGCCATTTTTGACACACAGAGGGATCTTTAATGCCATGTGCAATAATAAACAAAAACAATAAGTAAAAAAACAAAAACTATACCTGACTATTCTTATCTGGGCAGCAGCCATATCACACTGTAACTCACAACTAGTGACCCACTGAAGCTCAGCAGGTGTGAGCCTGACCAGCACCTGGATGGGAGACCTCCTGGGAAAAACTAAGGCTGCTGCTGGAAGAGGTGTTAGAGAGGCCACTAGGGGGCGCTCACCCTGCAGTCTGTGTGGGTCCTGATGCCCCAGCATAGTGACGGGGACACTATACTGTAAAAAGGCGCCGTCCTTCGGATGAGACTGAAAACCAAGGTCCTGACTCTCTGTGGTCATTAAAAATCCCACCGTGTTTTTCAAAAAGAGTAGGGGTATTTCACACATGAAGTCAGTTCTTTGTCCCGTCTATGACCAGTTAACAACTTAACACTTAGAGGTTTGCGTGCTCCTTAAAATGTCAAGATATGAGCCTAAGACTTGAGAACTTGGCAAGAGAAAGCAAAGGAACAGGTAAAACGTAATCCCTGCTGAAAAGAAAAGAGACACAACATTTTGGCTGTGGAGCCTTCTTCAAGTGTCAAGGCTCCACCCCTGAAGAAGGCACCACAGCCGAAACGTTGTGTCTCTTTTCTGCTCCTCTCAGCAGGGAATAAACCTTTACCTGTACCTTTACAGCCTACACATGCTGATACAGCCACCTGCCTGAACTAAGGGAAAGCAAGGGCAAAGATTACACAAAACATGCATCTTAATTTATTCATTTTAGATATGATTACATTTCAATATCAAATTTATACTGATGAAAACATCAGTAGGGATAATATTAATATTAAAAAAAGTATCAATGGCACTGAAATCTGTCAAAATAATTACAAGTCATAATTCTTGGTACTCCCCAACTGAAAGGTAGCTGACCCCTACTCTATTATATGTTCAACACACACTGAAGCCATAAAAGCAAGACAAGTATCTCATATATCCCTGGACTCACTGGCCTTTTAAAACAGACCTTAACTAAAAGTCACCTAAGAGAGAAAATATTTTAAGGAGAGCATTCACTGGCATGAACTGCAGTTCAAAATGTTCTACAGTGGAGGGCCTTAAGTCTTTGAGTTTTTCTTCCAACTTAAACAGTCAATTAAAGTATTAAACTACAGTTATTATGGTCTAAATTAACTGTACATGTTATTTTTCACCATTCACCTCAATAAAAGTACTGTAAGCTGTAAGTCATCATAGAGCCTTGTTTGTTTTTTTACAAATATGCATTAAATAATTCAATAACTATGCCACATGTGTGACCAGAAGACACTGCACCCCCCAGAAACTTAGTTGGAGACCCCTGGTGTAGACTATCAAGACGTTCCGCTCATGGGTCATGTAGCCTGAAACTGCTTCACAGTGGACTCCAGACCCTCGTGGAGTCCATGTTTTGCTATTTAAAAAGGTGTAATAAGCCAAAACTGTGGACAAACCTAATGTTGCATAGAGCCAACAAGGTGGACAGTCAGTGCCCAATCGGTGTCTATTCTCTCTGCTGACAAGCTATATTTACCACAGGTGTCTGTAGACATTACGATTCACTGAGCTCTCTCTCAAGGAACAGGACTCTGAGGTTATGGGACTAAGCTGCAAATGGCTGGCTTCTTACGATGGGTGAACAGGTTTCTTGTCATCTGCGGTGATACCAGGTTCTTACCCTGAGTCCTGGGAGGGGTCAGCACTTTTGAGGTACCTCTCCTGATGCAGACGCACCTCTCGCCCCCTCACTGCCACGCTGACCAGAGGGAAGCCCTCCTGCAGAGTCCAGGTGTCCATGATCTCCTTCACATCCAGCTCATCCTGCATGAACCACTTCTGCAGACACAGACCCAAAGCAATCAGCTGAAAAATGCTGTAAAAATGGTACTGAAACGAGCGTGCATTTCAGGCCAGTGTAGGGTTTGGATTACAAGTACCATTAAATGTTGACTCCAGTTATCTATCTAGTTGCACGTTAAATTACAAAATTAAGAGAGTTTACCCAGGAGAGCACGTTTTCTTACCACTTTTCATTTTTGGAGCACAGCTGCTGAATGGCGCAATTTACAATACAAGCTGCCAGAAGTGTCCGAAAAAAAAGTTTCAGATAGGAGCAAATTACTACTCATCCTAAAGTTCACTTGGGAACCAAAATCCAGCAGTGAGTGTAAAAATTGTCTTAGTAATGTTGGAATGTTAACCCTAACCCTAGCTGGGGTTTCAACAGAGCAATTCTGCAATAGATCTCTGAAGCCCTCCATTCATCAGATTTGAAAATGTTCTTCAAACCAACATACAGTATATGAGTCTAAACAGTTTCTAGGAGAAGCTGTAGTTCCCAAAATTCCCCTTAACACCCAACACTACAGTCAGGATAAAAGGTCACACATACAGTGGTGCTAGAAAGTTTGTGAAAGAAATTCAGAAAATTCTAAAGGGTTCACAAACATTTTAGCACTACTGTAAAAGTAAAAGAAGAAGGAAAACAGCTGTTTTGCTTCCCTATGACTGACAGAAGACCCATAGTTGCTGAAACAGTAGTAAGAAGTTGACTAGTGACCAAGTGGATGGAGCCATTTCATAAATGAAGCAAAGCAAACAGCCTAGGTGCTGTAGGAAGGGACTTAAAAGCTGAAGCTCCAGACATGTGGAGTAAGGCTAATGTTTTGTTTTCAGCAAATGTTTGTATAAATAAAAAAGCACAGTGAATAGCAAATACACCTCTGCACTGGGACAAAAACACCTTCATTATGAGTAAGTCCCTTCTTTCCAAGCTGGAGGATAAGTGAAAAGACCCTGCCTGTGGTGATCGGCAACCTCAAAGTGTCACAATGGTCCATGTCATTCTGATTGCTACTGCAGGTTCCATGCCTCCAATTTCACAGATTGTTTTTGTCACAATGTCCCCACTGTCCTGTGCTGTCCAGCACCCAGCTTGTAACAGACCAGGCTTGGCCCCACACTGGATGAAGGCTAGATGTACGTTATCCCGGTACTCACTGAAGCAGGAGAATGGGGCTTGCTTCCAGAACAAAATCCGTCTCCTCGTAACCGCCCTTCATCCAGATCATCAGACTGGCAAATCTGTGTGGGAAAAACATCAGTGCCGTTACTGGCGAACGTGGATGTTCTGATGTACTGTGTGCAATGCAAGTAAGTGCAACATGAGTGAAAGGACACTTCCACTCCTCGCTCACATTGGTCAGGCTGTCCCAGAGGTCTGCATTCCGCGTGTTCTGGTAACTGAAGCGCCGAAGGTAGCGGATGATGCCGATTTTGAAGGCTTCTGGAGTAAGGAAGTCTCTCAGCATGTTTAAAATACAAGCCCCCTACGAAGAAACAAAAGAGTGCACTTTAACCCTGTCTACCACTTCTTCATTCACGAAGTCCCCTCCACTCAGCGCCAACCCTCTTGGAAGGCACTGTGGTGCAGCGATTGTTTTTGCAGGAAGTGGATAAACTACCGGGTATTCACTACGAAACAGTGAGAAGGGCGCTGAGTTACAGAAAGGGATATTTCACAGGTGGCTCGGAGGAGCAGACGAGTACAGTTAAACGACGGCGCTGTACCTTGTCATAGGAGACATCATCAAACATCTCCTGAATCTGCGCAGGATTCTCCACTGGAGTAGAGACAGGATGCGAGGAGCTCAGAGCATCCACCTCCATGGCTTCAAAACACTTTCCCAGAAAATAGTCCTCCTGGGGAGAAAGGAATGTTCTTCACATCAGCGGGGAATCTCGGAACGGCAGACGCTCGTCTTTTGTTTACGGAGAGTTGATTTTATTTATGTGGAAACACACTAACTTTGCTTGGCACGTGATTCAGATGCTACAATTTGACATCACACTTTACGCCCGGTGTAAAGGAACAGCAACTGTGAACTTCCAAACTGTTTGAAAACAGTACAGTAAAACTCCGGTTTAATGGCCTTCACTGTATTGAACTCCTAATTTAATGGACAAAATCTGCTAAAGGGAATTTTGCCTGTAAAATTACAAATATCTGACTTTCCCCACTATAATTTGTAAATGCACAAATAATGAAAAGTAATAATAATAAAATTTAAAATTCAGGAATATCAATGGTGCCCTATAGATTTAGGTCAATTGCTTAAGATGGTTTCTGTTCGTGTTTCATATGCTTTAGCGAATTTGATGCAGTATATTTATGACACATTAAATAAAGAGCCTGTATAGATGTATTATTGACTATGTTGAATGAAACTGTTAAAAAAAAAGATAAAAAAATCCAGCAAGAATTTAAACTGTACATATAGTAGGTATATATACTTTCCCATATTGTAGTGTGTTTTGAGACTGAACAAACGTCATTCATGATGTAACAGACATTCATCAACGTTGGACCTTCTCCTCTATTAGTCAATTAAACAGAGGGCTTACTGCACAACACATTTTCATTTTTACTCAGACGCAACAGAACGTCCTCTGTATTTATCTTCTTAATTCTCTACAGAGCTACTTCTATTTTACTCAGTTCTTTAAGAGCAGAGAAGAGCAGAGAAGAGCAGAGACAGGAATTAGATTGTAAGACATGCCCAGATGCCCACACAATGATGAAAATAAGCTGTGCCCCTTTTTGTACAAAGATAGGACCAGAAAACAGACTGAATGCTAAAAAAAGAAAAGAATAGTCAAGTCTTATAGTTGAATCAAATAACTAGCAAAAAATAATCTCCTCTGAGCCCCCTTCTCCAGAGACAGCAAAAGGACATTTTAAGTGCATCTGAGTAAGAAAGGCAGGGAATAAAATAAAGAGGGCTGCTTTGTTTTACTCACAACTTGCAGCTCGGGATTTGTGATGTTTACAGACACGAACTCCATGAATTTGGCGAATCCTTCGTTCAGCCAGAGGTCGTTCCACCACTGCATGGTCACCAGGTTGCCGAACCACTGAGGGAGACAGCCAGCAAGCCAGCATTAGCAAAGACCCAAGCCAGGGCTGAGCCCTGTTGGGACTGTGTATCCTCTTTACAGTACATACTGCCAAGAGCCAGGATGGCTGACTTCATCTACTGACTTCAGTGAGGCTTCACAGCCATTACAGCATGGCGCTGGGTTTCATCTGTATACCTGGATTCAAAAACTACGATTACAAACTGCAAAAAAATCCAAATTAAATCACAATATTATTGATATTGTATTTATTAGCAGGGATGGTACTTGGTGTGGCACAGCGTATTTAGTATTGCTGCCGTGCAGCGCCAGGGCCCTGGGTTTGATTCTTGGGGTGCTACCTGCGTCGAGTTGGTATGTTGCACCCAGGTTCGCTTGGGTTTCCTTCCACAGTCCACAAACATACTGGTAAGTTAACTGGTTTCTGGGAAATTTTGCTCCTGGTGTGTGTGTTCGTGTGTGGGCCCTGCGATGCACTGGTGTCCTGACCTGTGCCTGTTGCTTGGGATACGCTCCGGCTCCCCCACAATCCCAAATTGCATCAAGCAGTTTGAAAAGGGATGGACAGATGGTACAAGTTGTTTTCAGATTTTTTTCTAAAATAAAGTAGAATCATGTGTGATACTCGTCTATGTTTTCCCAAATGTACAATTTACAAAAAGAGGAAGACGATCTCAAACAGTCCATTAACCCTAGGGACAAACTGATGTCCCCCATCTGGCACAGCCCTGCACTGCTGGCACTCGGTGTCTGTGCGGTGATGGGATACCTGGTGTGCCAGCTCATGAGCGATGATCATGGTGATGCCCAGCTTGTCGGAGGCAGAGGACGTCCTGGGGTTGAAGAGGAGGGCAGATTCCCTGTAGGTGGTGAGGCCCCAGTTCTCCATCGCTCCTGACTGGAAATCAGGAATGGCAGCCAGATCTGTAACGTTGACACCAAACAAAGACACAACAGATGACCTGCACTGCACAGAAGTCCCATTAAGCTCACACACCTGCTTTTTTCTGCAAAAAATGACATTTCACACCATATAAACAAGAATTTACATTATATGGACAAGATATGAGAGAATTCATTGGTCTCAAAAGTGTCTAATCAGTTAAGATTTAAAAGTAAGTAAATGCCTTTTCATTCCATTTTTTTCTAAAACTGTGGTGCAATAAAATATATTTTCCTACATTTTTTTTGTGGAGCAATTCATCAAGAGTCACAATTATAGCCAGCTACCCTGGCACTAAAGTCTACAGCTTTTCAATCGCAGAGAAAAACTGCATGACATAAAAGTCATAGGATAATAACTTCCAAGATGAACAGAAACAATATTCTGCACACTGTACACTCTCCAAGCTCACCTTGTTTTGGGAGGGGATAGGGGATGTTAAAGTAGTCTTCGTAGAAGTCTAGGAGCCTCGCTGCTGCTTCCAGAGCAAATTCTGCCTGATCAATCTTCTCAGGTACTGTATACACAGATATCTGACAGAATGGAAACATACAAGCAAACCATACATCATCTCATGAGCTACTTTAATTACTAAAATGAAAAGAAATAGAGTCTAGTACAAAAATGTCTGTCTAAGGCAAAAGTTCTTCTGGGGGTAGGGGTAAAAATGCTTTCTGAGCCAATGTGTTTGGTCTAGGAATTGCTGTACATAATGACGCAAGAAAGGTTTACAAATGAGTGAAGGCCATTTGACCCATCTAGCTGTTTTGGTACTTATAGTAGTAGTTAGTGACCCAGGGATCTCATTCAGACACTTCTTTAAATACATCAGAGTATCGGCTTCAACCACAGGAGTGGGGAGCTCTCATCATACTGCCACAAGTTATTTATTTTAAACCTCTAAATTTATATCTTGCTATACAAAACTGTGTTATATTTTTATAATCTGATTTGTCAAGCCTTGACAAGCCTTGAGGTTAAAATACCAGTGTTGGTTGCGATAATGTACTGGAATACAGCACAAAAGTTCAGAGACATACTGTAAGTTTGACATAAAAATCCAGGTGCCAGATATTCTAAATATAAAGGATTCAAAGGCCACCATAACATCAAACCCTTTCATTGTTTTGGAAGAAATTACCAGGAAGAAAAGAGTAACACATATTTTCAAATAATTTCAAATTAAAATCTAAATGGAAAGTTTTTGCTGCGTTCAGCTGGCGGAGACCAGGGTTTCCATGGCGACCTACCTTGACCCCATGCTGACTCATCTTGCTCACGGACAGGAAATCGGACACAATGAAGGCCACCAGGTAGGTGCTCATCTTCACACTCACATCAAAGTGGTCTTCCAGTAGCCCACCTCCCAGGTCCAGAGTTTTCAGCTGCCAGAAAAAAAGAAAACTGCTTATCAGGATGCACGTCAGGAGAAAAGACGCATTATGTTTCCTTTTAGGACAACAGGATTATGTCTGCTTTCTTCACTCAACCAAGAGAGTTCTCTTCCAATAGTGTCATATAGTCAAAACCAAATTAATGTTTGGTTCAATCTTAACAGCCAGTTATATGATGTACCCATTCCGTTTGATTTCAATAATTTCAATAAATGTTTCTTTATTTATTATTATAATTATTTATTTCTTTGGTCAAAGCACGGACTGCTGCAGACACACAGGGAGAATGTGGAAGCGCAGATAGGCTCCTCCTGCCCACTGACCCATCATTCACCTTTTGACACATTGCAAGCTCTGCAGTGTCCTGTGGGAGAGTTAGTGCTGATTGGTGCAGAGGCACGTCACTCAGTGAGGTCACAGCTCTCTTTCAGGCACCGAGGAAGTCCCTGTTTCATTGGCTGCTGAGAGAGCCCCAGTGTTAACACCCCAGCACCAGCTCGGGTGGCTCTGAGAAAATATTGTGCCACTGTTTGGGACAATCCTGTTCACACTCAGTGTGGTGGTGAGACTTTTTTTTTTAAGCTCTCGATTTAGCTCCCCCATGTAATAAAACGATCCAGCCTTCCAAAGTGCCGTGCTTCTGCTCGTTCGCCATACCTTCGGCATGTTTGACAGGGCGATGTGCCGGGGCTCCCTGCGGAGCTTGATGGAGAAGTTGGCCTTGAAAGCGGGCTCGTCGAAGCAGGGGAACGCCGCTCGAGCCGAGGTGGGCTCGAACTGCGTGGAGGCGAGGACCCTAAAAAGCACCATACAGAAATCGAGATATTCACAGCAGCACCTTTCCCTTCCATATCGATCCAATGAGTGTCATTTTATAATGCACAAAGGGAATATCTTATTTATAACACATGGTCCAGGTGGCTTGTTGTTTGATAATTATTGAGTTTTACTACCCCTTCCCCAACGATGATTTAGACAAAAGAAGGCCTGGTCTTATTTTTTAACAATGCTTATCGTTTAAAAAATAAATGCCCAAATGTTATTCATTTCCTTTTGTCATGGGGGGGCAGAATATTTTGCCACATTCACTGACATCCATATGTTAAATGCAATTTCCAAAGTGCCGTTTAAACTAAGTTCCTCTTCTAGTGCTGTAAGACTACGATGTTCTCAATTTACTACAAGTCTGGGAGACTGGGAGAGTCTAACTGGGAGATCTGGGAGAGTCTAACTAGAATCCAGGAAAGGTCACTCCAGCTTGTTGTCACTGAAATCCCTGTTATTTTCCATTGAGGCAGCTAATCTGAAGTCTGCGGCTAATGAAAGCACCTTAAAGCAAGAGGTTTGGAAAAAGAATCCACACCGGAAGCTGTCAGATTGAACACCCATCATCGGTCTCGCCCGAGGAAACCATGTCTGGCAAAACACCAGTTCACTGCACACCAAACGTTAATATCATAAACCAAAGGTCACCTTACCTGACTTCGCCGTCGGTTGTGCGGTAGGAGCTCTTATAAAAACCGTGGAAGCTGTCGGATAGGTTGGCGGCGAAGTCGATGGAAACCACATACACATGCCCCGCTAGCAGTGCCCTGTCTGACACCAGAGCCACCTGCTCATAGGAGGGCAGCTCCAGTACCTGCAGAGGGCTGGCTCGAGCCCCTTCCAGAAAGGCTGCCTTGGAGATCTGGAGGTTCTTACTGTGCAAGACAATGGCGCTGGTCTCTTGGAGAACCTGAACCTGGATCTTGACCGTACCAGTGAAGTCCAGGGAGGTCAGGTTGGGATGGATGAGGAGATCGTAGTGAATTGGGGAGATGGCATCAGGGAGCCTCATCTTATCCCAAGGAAAAGGCTGGCCGTTTGTCGCAACCGGAGGATGGGGTCCGCTTCTCCTCTCCTCCCGTTCCCCGCCAGCGGACACTGAAGTCAGCGCAGCCGCTGCAGTGAGGAGCCTCAGGAAGGTCCCCCGTGAAATGAACCTCATTCTTGTCTCCATCTTGCAAGAAACCTCTCCGGGTTGACACAGGTATTTCCCTATGCGTATAACAGACCAAAGAAAAAGGGACAATTCCAGTTACCGTGTCCTCCAGATGTATTCAGTTCCAGTGAAACGGGAGAAAAAAACATCATGTAACAGAATGGCTTGTGGATTTGGATAATGCACGCTGATGAACAAAAAATCAAAATGAGAGACTGTAATTGTACACGTATTGCACATAGCAGTTATATTTATCAAAAATAATTAAGTGAACTGCTGAAAACGCCAGCATTCAGAGTAAATCGTCTAGACTGGCTGTCTCCATCTCCAAACTTCAATCACAATCTCCAAACCAAATGTCTGAACGGTAGGTGGCATATGGAAACCGAAGGATCTGAAGGTTGTAAAGGAATTCTGCCCTGAAGAAAGGTGAAAAATGCCCCATTTGCAGTGCCAGAACCTCACGGTGCACTACGGCTGTCGTCTTATCAGTGTAGTCCCTGCCAGAGGAGGATTTACAAAACACTGACTTCAGGGATCAGCTGTGACCTTCATGTTTTCCAAACTTTAAATTATCCATGCCAAGCAGGAACGATTGTATCAATAACACAGCAAAACATTTTTAGCCATTTCTTCAGCAAAACACATCATCCATTCCTTACGTCCATCTGCTACATGATGTTTTATGTCTTTAGTTCACCTGCAGTATGAAGAAATCCGTGAGAGACTGTATTCCAGAAAAGGGCAAAACCTTTAAAACAATTAAAGCGCTAAAAAAACAAGTCGTAAAAACAATTACTAAAGAGATTTATAAACACAAAAATAAATTTCACAATCTGTTCACACTGAGTAACTAACTAGATGCACTGAAATTGTTCTGAAACAAAATCTCACTTTTCAGCCTAGAGTGTGTGGACTGAGTGCCTTCTTCCTGAGCTCCACAGATCCTACAGGTGAGAGTAAAAAGAACAGACAAGGTGCTAGCTGGTGAGCTCTGTGGCCCTGTCTTTGGGCCCCATGAACACAGGTGAAAATTGTTGTAGACAAGCCAGAATGGCAATGAATATCCATATGATATAAGAACATAAGAAAAAAGACGTTACAAACTAGAAGAGGGGATTTCGATTTGTTCATAGCTAATAGATCCTAGATATCTCATGCTGTGTCATATCTCTGTTTTTAAAGGATGCTAAGGCTCCAACAATATGGCCAGGTAACTTTTTCCATACTCCCACAACAGGTAACCTGTTTTAAAAGCACTTCTGTGTAGTGTAAGTATTTGTTCTCTCTGTTTTCTTCAAAATGATGTTTTTTTTCTAATAACGAAAACTGTTTTCTTTTTCTTTTTTTGTCAGTTTCCCTCTCATATCATGTTGTAATTCTGGTCATCCCTATATAACCTGTCCTAACGCTGTCCATTTGTTTACAATTGTAGCCAATAAAAAAACCGTATGTGCAAACTGTAACTTGTGACGGTGGACAGGCTCCATTCATCGCACGGGCTCTTGGTTGAACGTACAAATGCAAACGTTTGTCTGGTAATAGTACACAATATTATGCTTAAGTTACATCAACACAAGTCAGAGACGAAGACAACAAACGGACGTATTTTTCAGTACACCAGAGCTTTTTCTGTAACGGAAGCCAGACTATGAAGTTCAGGACAGCTTACTCGGATACGATTACTGTATGGCCTGTTTATTTTGGCGATAAAGGCATCACGTGAAATGTTTGAAATAATAAAACGAATTCTACTTCTGCGGAGAGCGCTCATACCTCCGCATAAAAAAACAAATGATCAAGTCATCTAATAATAAACTAGTTCAGTTGGGTAGCTGTGTCAGCATGCTTAGTCTGTAAAAGAACAGGTAATGGGTTTATTCCATGCTGAAAATAGAAGAGAGAAAACGCAACGTTTCGGCTGTGAAGCTTTCTTCGGGTGTCGGGGCTCTTTTTGGCCCGGGTGGGGCATCCTCTGTTGATGAAAACACCTGACATTTGAAGAAGGCCTCGCAGCCGAAACGTTGTGTTTTCTCTCTTCTCCTTTCAGCACGTAATAATGTAATAATGAATGTAACCTTTGGTGAACCAGGCGATTCAGTTGCGTGGAAATGTCACCGGTGTAATTTTGCAGAATAGTGGACGGAGCGCATCTTCCATTTCCCCACATGATGACACCGCATGTTACACTTTGCGTTTGGATCGCGCTTGTTCGCCCAAACGTAGGACCGTTTTAAAAATTACAACTTCGTGCTTCGGAAAAGTATCACAGCCCTCACATAAAACAAAACGAATGAATCGTTTTAGGTCGTTGCACGGGATTCGACAACTCACCCCTCGCTAAGATATACCCGATTCCGCAAATTTAGCTCTGGAGAGAGAATCTGCCAAGTGAAAATAAAACCAAAAGTAGCCTAAACCATCCAGAAACCAGACGACAACGTCTGCAAAATACATATTCATTTTCAAACGCACAAAAAGTTTCCTCTCCCGTCATTAAAAAGGACACGGACCACGTATATTCTTATTTTGGCTAGAATCCGTAGCGTTTATTTTATTTTCCTTCGTGAATGTTATTACCACAGGAAGTGACACACTAAGTGCACAGAAAGGTTGCGACCGAGAGCTGCAGTCGGAAAGTGTCCGCCAGGTGGCCGGAGAACAGCACTCACAAAGGCTTTGTTTGGAGTGGTGATAATATTGTGGTCATTTCATAGTTTTTATAGACTTAAATTGTATATGAAACCAAATAAACGAACATCATATTTAATACTTGAAACATTTCCGCCGACATACTATTGTGTATGTGTATGAGACGCAAATTGCAAATTGTAGAAGACGCAAAGGTTCAACACTACTTCTCTGAGGGCCAACCCTGTTTTTTTTGGATGCCCTAGGTAAGATCTTGTAAAGGGGCCCCTCCAGATCGCGATTTGCGCATACGCGGCAATTATCAGCTCCCACTCCAAACTTATTTTACTATTTGTAATTGTATAACTAGAAAAAACTTTCTTAACCAGCTTTGAAGAACACATTATAAATAGCTTACAAGCCAGAACAAGAAGCACACGTCACAAAGATAACATGTTTTTTAACACTGAAAGTAATAACGCGATTCTCTTAACTTCTCGTCAAATGTCTCAAGTAGAAGTGGCTTGTCTACAGTTCGCTGGTTACACTGATCTGACGGACTCAAAATAAAAATGCATTATTGCAATGACTTGATTTGGAATACCTTTCTTTTGAGATTGCTTATCCAGCTCTGAGGTTTCCTTTATCAGCACCGGATAGGTACATCCTTTTGAAGGACAGTATGCAATATGTCACATGTAATGTTACATGTAATGAAAAATTAATAAAATCGATCACAACATTTACTACTTTCCAAAAATTACATGAACTGTAGCATCAGTGGGAACTGCACTGGTACTGTCATCTTAGGTGAAGATGAGTGTCGTTTACTTCATCCACAGCAAAAACAAACTACTACACTTACATTATTTAATTGTAATATAACACTTACATAATTAAATAATAATTTATAACTAACAGATGTTAACAGCCTAGATTAGCACAGCAGCAACTGAGAAAGCCACCGGAGGGAATCTGTGTTTCACATTTGTGAACGAGCCGATTAAAAAACAAATCTGTTGTTGCACATTGAGGTGGTCTTGGTGGTCTCAGAACACTAAGCGGCCGCCTAGTTCTCCTAAGCCAGCAGACTTCTATTTCCCACACCCTCACAGCACCTCTGGGCCCTCACGTGCACAGTGCGGAGAAGCGTATCCCTGTGTGTCTCGGGACCCGCTGGCCCGATCCGGCCCAGAGGTGCTGTCAGGGTGTAGAAGCAGAGGTCTGCTGGTTGTGTGAGTTGGGTGGTGAGCCTGGTTGGCAGCAGCCACGAAACTTGCAGGGGATACCAGATTCCACACTCACACACTGCGGAGAAGTGTATCCCTGGGGTATCACGAGTGAGTGTGGCGTCTGTGGGAGACGAGATGTGTAAGGGGATACTATTTTGTGTAGATAACATGGCCAAGTTGAATTTTCCTGCTTACCGGTAAAATATTTCAGGCAAAGAAAACAACAAAGCAAACCGTCTTTTCATGTTTATTTCAGTTCCTCTACATGAGTTAGTTTGTGTAATGCACATTAAGACCAAATTCAATTCAATAGGAAGACATAATTGCTGATTAACACATCATTTCTCATAATTGTAATACTTAAGTAAACCTGAAATTCAGAATTGCATGTTTACTATGCGCAAACAATGCTTGTGTGAGTCTTTTGTCTTTTTTGGGGGGACATGCAAATAATTGCAATCCTTATGTAAACCTGAAAGTTAGAATTGCGCGTTTCCTACAAACAATATGAAATGTGCACAGGAGCAGGCAGACAAATCATACCTCTGATTTCCAGTGTGCATGCGCACTTTGAAAGGGGATACGGATTTCCACGGCATACTGAATTCGATACGACACCAGCACCGCTTCTCTGTGAATTTCTGCCACTGGTACAGATTGACTGTACAGTTGTCAGTAACAGTGGGGTTCTTGCTGTTGTGCAAAAAATTTGTCAGACACTCCATTGAACCACAATGCAGGTTATTTCTTTATCCGCTGTCCTTAGGAGCCTGCACAGTTGGAAACATTTAAGTAAAATGGCCTTCTGATGATGTTGGTGTTACAGAGTGACAAAGGTGAGTGTGGGTCAACAGGTGTCAGGAACTATAGTGACTGTAAGTTTACCTATGGTGGCCAGTGTTTTTGAAGTATGTTTTCTCCCTCTAATCTAAGTCCTCAAGCACAATTCAGGAGGAATGAGGGCAACTGGAAATCGTGTGAAAGAAGAATCGTTTATTGAGTTTGTGGCAACTTGGCTTAGTATTTCTGAGTGAAGGCCAACCTCCAAGACATCACAAGAACACTTCCCTCACTCATAGCAAGCCCTGAGCCCTGGTCAGGAAGGGCTTTATAAACCCAAGCAGGAGGACTCACAGGAGTGAATTGTTAAAGGAGAATTCAGGGCGACACAGACTGCACCTCTGGACATAGGAGAGGACATGGACACCAGAGGGGGACTCTACAGAGGGAAGCAGAGGAAGACTGATACTGGACTGGGAGAAAACAGGGTAGGGGAGGAGTATAAGGGTCTGCATTGTTCAAGTCAATTGAGATTGAAGAGTATGCCTAAGACCATTGAAAGACTACACAGAGTTTCATCTCTGGGATGGAAGGAGGAACATCAGCGTACCATGTTTTGGATGAAACACTCCTGGACCTTTCCTTTGGGGCACTGCATTTTTTAACTGATGGGGTGTTGACCAGGGAGTGTTAGATGTTGTAACAACTAGATTGATACACTGTAGTAAAAAAGAAAATTGTGTAGGATAGCAGACTTGTCTGGCGTGTGGGTGCACTGGTGGTTCTGGGATATACAAAAAAATCTGTTTTGGGAAAAAGAGGCAGAGCACCCTTTAAATTGCTAGGTGGTGTAGGTGTCTACAAAGTATCCTGTATCTGTGACATTTGGAAATTTCATCTATTTTGTGATGTGAGGTTTTACAAGTCACAAGTTACTGTGTACATTTGACTTTTAGTGTGGTTTGAAATTCAATCATCTAGCTGATTCTTTCTAACCCACAAATATAAAAATAGCTTTGCAGTTCCCCTTTTGCATCTAAAACTGAGAACTGAGAACTGACTGTTACATCATCCCAATTTGAGTTTTCACTTCTTATCTTGAAATAAGATAAGATGCTTATCTTGATATGGCTGCTTAGTCAGCAGCCATATAACCCTGCAACTCAACAACAGGCAACCCACTGAGGCTAAGAGGTGTGAGCCTGGTCAGTACCTGGATGGGAGACCTCCTGGGAAAAACTAAGGTTGCTGCTGGAAGAGGTGTTAGTGGGGCCAACAGGGGGTGCTCACCCTGCGGTCCATGTGGGTCCTAATGCCCCAGTGTAGTGACGGGGACACTATACTGTAAACAGGCGCCGTCCTTCGGATGAAATGTAAAACCAAGGTCCTGACTCTCTGTGGTCATTCAAAATCCCAAGGCGTTTCTTGAAAAGAGTAGGGGTGTAACCCCGGCATCCTGGCCAAATTTCCCATTGGCCCTTACTGATCTTGGCCTCCTAATAATCCCCATCTATGAATTGGCTTCATTACTCTCCTCTCCTCCCCACTGATAGCTGATGTGTGGTGAGAGTTCTGGCGCACTATGGCTGCTGTCGCATCATCCAGGTGGATGCTGCACATTGGTGGTGGTGGAAGGGAGTCCCCATTACCTGTAAAGCGCTTTGAGTGGAGTGTCCAGAAAAGCACTATATAAGTGTAAGAAATTATTATTATTATTATTATCTATACTCTCTGTTGACCATCTGTGGAAGACAGGGGCGAAATTTAGCCAAGACACCTGTACTGCTTAGTACTGCTTGTTTGCTATCCAGGGCAATAAAATACCAAGGTTTGTTTTGGAAAAGACACAAATCTAAATATATGTCAATTAGTTGCAGTTTCCCAAGCATCCTAGATTACAATGACAAGTCATATAAAGCCAAGCTTTATAACTTGATGGCAAATATTTGAAGTTTGGCATTATATAACATTTCATAAGTAATAAGATACTTATTAACTTTAACATCCCCTATTTCTTTTTATTATTGCACATCTGAAGGTCACTGAATAAACACAAAGTATATTATTGGTGCCAAACATCAATGATTGATGCATGCCTATTGAGATGCATTTTCCAAAAATGTGTCATAGGTTAACTGTTCAGTGAACAGTACTTATCTGTAGTGGCTGACGTTACATGGGGCAAGGAGGGTCTTTAAATAGTTTGGAAAAGCAAAAAGAAGACTGGCATTGTGCATGAGTTCAGCTTCAGTCCAGTAGCTGGAAGGCCCGGAGCAAAATGTGGAAGAAGATCTTACTTTTTGGGCTTCTGGGAGCAGCTATCCTCACTTTTGGCATCCTGGTGGGGCATTACGGGATAGAGAAATCTCCAGGATGGGTGCGGGATATGTCTCGGGATGTGGACGAGAGCATGATCGAGCAGTTCATCAAAGAGGTGGACAACAAGAGAATTGAGGAGTATCTAAAGTGAGTATTTGCACTTCCTTGCTGTGTACTGTGAATGTTGGGTCAGATAGATGTGCCTCTTGACCAGACTGACTGTCAGAATAGTCTGGTCTGGATAGCTTTTTATTTGACTTTGACAGCGGTCAGATTGATTTTATAAAACAATTTAAATATTTCTCCATTAGCTTTTACAGCCAAGGTGAACCGACACAGTAAGAATGTAATGTGTGTTTTTTTTAATAGCCGAAAGCAGTCTAGTAATCCGGTGATGCTTTTTTCAGCGCAAATGATGCACTGGTAGGTTGTATATACAGTAGCAACAGGGTCTACTTATTCTAGTTTTTATTCAACAGTTTATTACCTTTATCAATAACATGTCTTATTTCAGGAGACAATGAGTTATGTCCTTTAGAACAAATTCAAAGAGTTGCCATCAATCTGTACAAAGAAAAGTATTGTAACGCTTATGGCTGACAGGCACTGTGTAAGAGCCGGCGTACCAGAGCAGGTGCCATCACCGCCCTTCCCTGTGATAGCAGGACTACAGCTACTGGGCTGTAGAGAGATCTCTCTTTAGCTCACGGGGCTAGGTCACTGCAGAGAGACGCGGGAGTCCCGGGTTCGAGCCCCCGATGGTGGGGGGCCGACCTAATGCGGCAATGCGTTGCGTTACAGTATTTACATCCATCCATCCATTAAATTTGATTTCAATACTAGATTTAAAAGACTGAATATAGCAACCAATGTTGTGTAACCATTATCTTCAATATACAACGTAAAATTCAGTAGGCTTACTCAAGTTCTGAGTTTTATAATTTTGTTGTAAAAACAAACAATAGCAATTTAAAATGAAATGACTTGGATAAATAATCACGAGAAAATAAGAGGCTCAGAATGTTATTTCAGAAATACTTTTATTTTAATTAGGAGTAGTATAGGAGTTTACAAAACAATTGTAGACTTTTATATTAAATATTGCTATCCTGATGTTCTAATAAAACTAGAGCTCCGACCTGCTCCTTAATTATTTAATCGATAATTGGGAAATTTGTCATAGCAATTAGGGAGATGGATAAATAAAAGTACTGGCGTGGAGGGGATTGGAGAGGCAGCAAGCTGATGAGCCCTGATTTAATAATATCTCACAGTGCAGGATCTAAATGTACTGACACTGATATCCACACCTAGGCTGGTTATGTTCCTGGGTATCGGACAGTACGGGCTTAGGAAGTCGCAGAGTGGTTCAGTGAAGGTTTGAAAAGAGTTTAAATCTCTTATGAAAAAGGCCATTTTCAGAGAGAATAACAGGGACACACAATGGTGTATGTGCTCCTGCGGTGCACCGAACTCAAGCAATCCCAAGCAGTTTTTATACCTGAGGATATCCTTCTAAAGTAGCATAAATTGTGTGTTGAGAAGAAAGAGGCTCTTGAGCCTCTTCTTAGTACATAATACAATGGTATTTCTGACACTACACTTTCCACACCACAAGCGTCTGTCTCTCTTTCTCAGAACCAGCTTTAGAACGAACCCTTTCGCAGATCAAACCTTATACCGCACTTCTTGAGAAGGTAGTTTGTACAGAGCTGTCTTGGACACCAGGGGAGTCTCTTTGCTTCTGCTGGACAAACAACCTGGATCCTGGATGGCCGCTGGGAGGTGTAGACCATTGACAGCTATTGGTTTCACAGGTTCCGAAACACACACGGATAAGATGTGGATGTGGCTCCGTGGCTTAATTCTGCCTTTTCCCTCCAAACCACCAGGGAGCTGACCAAAGTGCCTCACATGGCTACGAGCAGTGGAGATGAGCAGCTGGTGAAGTACATACTGGACCAATGGAAGGACCCAATCTCTGGTCTTGACGACGCCTGGAAGGACACTTACAAAGTGTACCTGTCGTTCCCCAGTGACACGACTCCTAACAGGGTCACCGTGGGTAAGGGCCAGGGGTAGAAGTCTTGGATGTCTTGGAATGGACAACTCCCCTGAAAGTTATGGGTCAGCAAGAACCTGCCTGTAGAGTCATAAAGATCTGTAACAGCCTCAGAAACAGCCTGATCACAGGAAGGGCCTGTGATGCTGCACTCCGGTATCAATCTGGTTTAATATTACACCAGTCTAGACTCTCAGGTTTTGCAAGTTCATGGTCATTTTATGGATTGTCCCCGCCTTTCCATCTGTTACCTTAACAAAGGTTTAGATATGGATTTTAAGGTGGCCAGTGCTTAATGTTATTATCCAGGAATATAAAACAGATAAAACAGCCTGAATTAAATTGTACCTCATCCATATCTGCTTTATCTGTAATACTTGTATATAGGTAATATTTACCTATTACCTAGAGAGGCATTCTGTGAAGCTCTATGAAACTACAGAAATCAGCATTCACATTATAAATCTTAAATTTGGGATTTACCAGGAAATCTAACACTTAATTGTGAACCTAAACTCAAAATGGAGAATTTTCAGATGGATACATGTTAATGAATAAAGCTTCACACTATTCATTCAAGATTATAAGATATTGCCAGTACTTTTACATGGAGCTGCAACTTTCCATGAACTCTGAACTGTTGCCACCCACGAAAACTGGCAGGGCCTTTCATCCCAGTTTGCTTTGTTATTATTCCAAGAGATTCCAATATCATCTGGAATTTACTGAGACAGCATGACTTTATACGCTAACCTTTTCTGAGTATTTGAGACTTTGGGAATTTACTCCAAAGATCTAAACAACCTAAAGTTCAGATTCCTGGATAATAATGTTAATGGTGGAATTGCTGTGCAGATTATTTTATTACTTTTTTGCTCTGTCTATACGTATACTTTTATTAAAGTTTCTCCAACCGACTCGGTGCTCTTCACCTCGAGACTTAAAGAGAAGAACTACACAGAGGACCAGCTGCACCCAGATGTTGTACAGCCCTACGCTGCCTACGCCCCAGCTGGGAACCCAAAGGTACCGTGTCTTAAGATCAGAAAATAGCAATAGGATGGAAAAAAATAGCAATAGAATCTCAATGTGCACCTAGAACCTAGTTAAAACTTAGGTTGCAAGCCATTTGAATCTGTGCAGAGCTTTCAGATAAATTCCAGTTGTTCACCTGTTTGTTCACAGTTGTTCTAGAGTCCTGACCATACTTCTTGCATTTCTGTGCATATTGTCTTGGGAAATCGCTGCTTGCTGAGCAAAAATCATCCCTGGGGTAAAGCTAATTTTGACCAGCGAAATGGACTGCATATCCTGTCAGAGGCAGGTCCTGTGCTCACTGTACCTAGGAATATATGTCAGACTATTGGTGAACATATTTTTTCTGTCGCTGCTCCATTGTTAAATTGTCCTTCATCTGACTATAGTCGTTAATTGTATATTTTTTTTTATCTTTTTCTTCTTTATCACCATGTACAGTGTCCTTGAGTTTGGAAAGGTATTTTATAAATGAAAGTAATCATTACTCAGTATGGCTTAAAATGAACACCTTTTATAACTCTTGATGTGTTTCTATGGGAAAGTGAATATTAACTTGTTCTCACCCTTTCACACCGATGGAAGTCACAAGCATCTAAATTAGGGCAACCCAACTTTCCGCTCCTCTACTTCACACTCCAAACATAGTTTTGCTGCAACCACGTCTTTAATTAACAATAATTGGCAGATTATCTTCAAAATAGTTTGAAATTCAGACACCGTTCAATCGGAAAATAGTAAATTGTTCCCCGATCTTGTTGCATTTTTGCACATACTGTATTGTCTGGGAAAAATCTGCTGACTGAGAGAGGGTTTTCATGTTTTCCCATGTCAGTAAAAGCTAACTTATCTTATCTCCTGCAGTAAAATCAATAGAACAATAAAAGCTTTTAGGAAAATACATTTTTTACACTGGCCTAGCCCAGCAAACCAGATCAGAAAGTACTTTTTGCACTTGTCAGTAGAATCTGCACTGAGATAAGACACATCTCAAATTTTCTGGAGATCATTTACGAGCCGTGGTAGCGATCTGATAATTTGTATAATCCCAAATATTGTTCTAGGCAAAAAAAAGTTGTAAGACAATTCCATATCCCTTAGCACTGTGGTGTGATAAGTGCTAAGCGCAACTATTCATATCCATCCATATTTGTTTAGGGAAGGCTTGTGTATGCGAACCAGGGTAAAGTCAGTGATTATGAATTCCTGAACAAAACTATTGACCTGAATGGCGCCATTGCCATTGTGAGGTATGGAGGAGCAGGCAGAGCAAACAAGGTAAGTTGCTCATTAAACGGGCACCTTCTGTGATGCAATAGGCACCTTCTGTGCATGTTCGGAACATCCATGTTGCATGCCCTTTTCTAATCCCCTCTCGACCTGATAAGATGGCCTACTCAATCAGTGTCGTTTGCTCTTCTCCCTCTCTGGCCTGGACTATGCGACTCCTCTTCCCAGGTGTTTCCTAATACTAAGTGACCACTTCTTTCCTTCCTTTCCAACGAAAAATGTACCACAATTAATTGTCCCCTACATTATCACATACTGTAGGCCTGAAATAACCCACTGGCAGCTCTTCTTCTGCCTTACATGATATGAAACTGATCCAGAACCATAAAAATAACAACCAACCCTCAATCCCATATGTTATATTGAAGTGCCAGTCATGCAAAATGTGTTTTTCTGAATTCCAAAAAATCCGTCCATCACGATCATGATCAGATATGACCGTTTCCCCAAGGATGCTTCTCTGACATGTTATGATAATCTAGAATAATTGATCATTCTAAAATGAAATGAAACTGTTGATAAAACTACTGTATGTGCGTATAGCTGTAGTATGCAGATGTGGTAAGCAAAGGTGCTGTCGGTGACAAGTTTCCTTGCTTGTGCTGCTCAGGCGATAAATGCTGCGCCTTTTGGAGTGATCGGGGTCCTGGTGTACACCGATCCCAAGGACATTAATGATGGGAAGCTGTCGGATGTAAATGAGACCTACCCCAACTCTTGGTACCTGCCCCCATCAGGAGTGGAACGAGGGTCTTACAATACCTATTTTGGAGACTTGTTGACACCGTACCTCGCAGCTAAAGGTAACCTTCTTATTTGTCACTGGAGTTGAGCAGATCTCTTCAGAGCGAGGTGGCTTATTTAAAACACTCCACTCTTCCTGCTCTGCAGATTACACTTACAGGATAAAGGAGGCTGATATAAAGGGGATTCCACCTATTCCAACACAACCTATTGGGTTTGAAGATGCCAGTGCTTTGATCTGGTGAGTAACCCTACACTATCCTACTATCTTCTGCTTCACATTTCTGTTTCTGCAACTGAGGAGATTTCACAAACTTTGCTAAAGTGTGTTTTGTCAGTGTATCTTATTCTATTCATGCTCTGAGGGCAAGGTCAATATCAGCCAATCTGAGTTATATCTGAACCCAATTTCCCAGGGATTACAAGTGTCGAAATTCCTGTGTAGTCAACTTGACCCTTTCAAATGATCTCATTTCTTGGATAACAGGAGTCATTTTCCATCTCTGAAGTAGATCCAGTGGATTTTGCACTCTCAAGATGCGTTTTCAATAATCTTAGCATTGCCTTCCTAGACTGCTCCAAGCCTGTCTTTCACTTCATCCTGTTTTATACTTTATTAAGTGCAGATTACGGGATTCGTTCCCTGCCGGAGCCTCTCTTTGAAATATGACTTGGTTTCCTGGGTGTTTTCATTGCATTATTTTGTTCTCTGTGTTGGATGGTACAGCAAATTGGGTGGATCAGACGCTCCAAGCCTTTGGCAAGGATCATTCAAATGCACCTACAGGCTGGGACCTGGATTTGAACCCAATTCCATCTTTAACAACAGGTATCATAATATCTATTTAGGTACTGAAAACGATTAGGTGTCAGTACATATGGATACAGCCCAATGTGGCTGTTGGCTGGCATCTGCTTTTACATCCCAGCAAAAAGAAAAATGAGAATTGTAGAAACGATTGTAGCCACAACTCACTAATGGCAGTCAAGGGGTTGCTTGGAGGGTACTTATGTATTTGAGCCACAGCTTCCCATCAGGAAGTTCCATGGAAACCCATCCTGGTTTCCATGGAACTAAGCAAACAAGAAGCACATGACTCTCTTTCCCCCCTGGGTGTGACGCTGTTCCAGTCACAAGGATTACAGCTAGCGATACCCATCCTGTTCCATTATAACTGGGAGGACTGGAGCAAGTGAGGTTTAGTACCTCACTCAAGATAAAACAGCAGTGTCTACAGCAGGAACTCGAACCCAAAACCCAGCAGTCATGAGTCCTGAGACTTGCCCACTATTCTACACTGTCCTATTCTAGTGACTGTTGCTGAGGTATTAATGAGGCTGTGGATCAAATCCCATCGTCTTCTTTGGAATTTCTGTGGTGGTGCTCAGGGATCATATTGATATTTACTACAAGAAAGATGGGATCCAAATCTCACTACTGTACAGCTTTCATTGACAGCAGTTACTGCAACAGAGAAATTCCTGCTTCTTGAATACAATAAATCTGAAGTTGGATCTTGCCTGGAATGATGCAGGACTGTTCCTAAAGTTCTGACCCAGAAGCAAAATAAAAGTTGGTCTAAGTTCAGTTAAGGACATAATTAATGGCTGAATAATCTATCATGCTTTGACACATAAATTACAGCGTTTAACTCTGTCATAATTCAATGGAAAGACCTGATGAGAACTGATTAAAAGCACCTTATTATAGCTACACTATAGACACAGGACAGTTGCCTGGCAACATTATTAAAGATTATTGAGATGTAACAGCATATTATTTGTTAACACTTTTTATTCACAAGTGTTAGGCTGGTATATTTGACACTTCCACTTGTGTTGCAATACTTCCTGTTCTCTTAAAGTGAAGTTCAACTGAACGTGTACAACAAGGGTGAGCTGAAGAACTCGGACAATGTGATGGGGGTGATCCGTGGCAGCGTGGAGCCAGGTGTGCTGTATGTCCCACAGACACTTTCACACTCTCCAGTACCACCTGACACCTACACACATTTTACAAGTACTATCATGCACATACACACTCTCAGTGTAAAGCCCTTCATACAATCCTATGTATGCACACAAAGCAGTGTAAGAATTGCTCTTAAAGGGGAACTACAGTCCCGATTCCTCAGACATGTCATTAGATCTCTGTGCCAAAATTCATTGAGAGAATGAAAAGATTTGACAAATTCCAAATTGAGTACAAAATCGGGAACTTTGTGAAAGTACTGCAAGTCACCATGTTGTTGAGGTCTGCAAGGGCATGAAGTTGAAGGCCGAACCCGGCCTTCATTTTCACTTATTAGAAAACAAACCCGTACTTGGCCCGAGCCCGAAGTTGTACAGTACGTGAAAAACCGTCCCGAACCCGGCCCAAAACCCTGTACTTTGTTGGGCCCCATCATGCTCGGGTTGGATAGCAGACCTCTTCCATGTTGTCACCAACCCCTGGTCTAGCCAAGGGCGAGAATTCACAAGAATTGTGATGTAATGCGGCCTTTCGTGCTCTCTAGTCACTGTAATGCGATGTATGAGAGAATTAAGTACAAGTTGTGCAGCAGGCATTTCACGAAATCAAGAGCAATATGTCTGTTAAATTAACAGAGGTGTATTCACAAGCCTGCTTGTTTAGAATGTAATGGGGGCAGCTTCACATCACTGGAGGTTGATGCCGCGTTCTGAATCGCAGAATATGGCGCTGCGCATACCTGGAAATTATTGTAAATTGAAGACTTTACACGTTACTGTGTACGCATTTGACTTTTACTGTGGTTTGAAATACACTCATGAATGCTGATTCATTCTAACCCCGAAATATAAAATAGTGTTGCAGTTCCTCTTGTGGCATAGGGCGGAGGCGTGGTCAGTGTGGAGGGGGAGCCCATGGATGAAAGGCGATGCGTTGCTTCAGCAGCCACTTAATTAGCCAGGGTAGTTGTGGTTGCTAGGGAAACGCATCGCCCTTCATCGAGGGCTCCGCTTCCACACTGAACACCTCCCCCCCCGTTTTATGCCACACCCATTAAGATCATTGGAGAGATCGCAAACCAGAGAGGGTCGTTTGCCCACCTGGTCTGAACTGATCCCAGGATCTCAGCCAGCCACTTCTTGAAAGAAGCCAGGCTATTGGCCTCAATGGCACAGCTGGGTAGCTGGTTCCATAAA